GTGATTTTCCTACCTCAGCCTCCCGAGTAGCTGGGATTACAGGCACCGGCCACCATGCCCGGCTAATTTTTTGTATTTTTATCCACCTGCCTCAGCCTCCCCAAGGGCTGGGATTACAGGCGTGAGCCACAGCACCCAGATTTTATTTATTTATTTATTTATGTATTAATAAGACGGAATCTCATTCTGTTGCCCAGGCTGTAGTGCAGTGGCCCGATCTCAGCTCACTGCAAATTCCACCTCCCAGGTTCACGCCATTTTGCTGCCTCAGCCTCCCGAGTAGCTGGGACTACAGGTGCCCGCCACCACACCTGGCTAATTTTTTTGTATTTTTAGTAGAGATGGGGTTTCACCATGTTAGCCAGGATGGTCTCGATCTCCTGACCTCGTGATCTGCCCGCCTCAGCCTCCCAAAGTGCTGGGATTACAGGCATGAGCCACCACGCCCAGCCGTTTATTTTTAATAGACAGGATTTTGCTCTGTCACCCAGGCTGGAGTATAGTGGCAAATGTAGCTCGCTGTAGCCTTAAACTGCTGAACTCAAGTGATCCTTCCACCTTAGCCTCCTGAGTAGCCGGCTAATGCCTGGCTATGCCTAGCTAATTAAAAAGATTTTTTTTGGTAGAAATGGGGGTCTCATCATGTTGCCCAGGTTGGTCTTGACCTCCTGGCCTCAAGCAATCCTCCACACCTTGGCCTCCCAAAGTACTGGGATTATAGGTGTGAGCCAGCAGGCCCGGCCAAACTTGCTAATTTTAATCTGTGTCTTTTTGCTTTACTAAATAGTAACCATGAGTGTAACAGCTTTTCTGAGTTCTGTGAGTCCTGGCAAGTCATCGAATCTGAGAGTGATCTTAAGCACCCCTGAACACACTTACCATGGCCCACTTGCACTCATCTGGTATTGGAAGGAAACAAATTTCTTTAGTTTCAGCTGCTACTTTTCAATTGTTCCATGGTGCTTTCCAGGAGTTCCAGGTTGATGATATGGGGTTTCCCCTGTTCTCACATCTGTCAGGCTTTGCGCCTTCTTCGTCCTGCACAGACACTGAGATCATGCAGGTCTTGCATCTGTTTGTAGTTTGTCTTCACTAGCTTGTATTTTAGAATTTGAGGGGGTTGGTCACCTACTCTTATTGTAGATATTATCCAGGGGATTTTGCTTTTGTTATCTATCTATTTGTTCTATTTCTTTGTGTTTATTTATTAAGAGATGGGGTCTACCAATGTTGCGTAGGCTCACTGCAACCTCAAATTCCCAGGCTCAAGTGATTCTCCCACCTCAGTCTCCTGAGTAGCTTTGGAACTACAGGTGGGCACCACCACACCTGGCTAAATTTTTATTTTATTTTTTGAGACATTGTCTCGCTGTTGTCCTGGCTGGAGTGCAATGGCAAGATCTTGGCTGACTGCAGCCTCCACCTCCTGAGTTCAAGCAATTTTCCCACCTCAGCCTCCCATGTAGCTGGGACTACAAGTGTGCGCCACCACATCCAGCTAATTTTTGTAATTTTAGTAGAGACGGGGTTTCACCATGTTGGTCAGGCTGATCTCAAACTCCTGACTTCAGGTGATCTGCCAGTCTAGGCCTCCCAAAGTGCTGGGATTACAGGTGTAAGCCACCACACCCAATTTTTTTTTTTTTTTTAAGTGGATAAAAAATGGCTAGGCATAAGCCATCATGCCCAGCCAAAAAATCAATTCTTTTTTTTTTTTAGACGGAGTCTCGCTCTGTCCCCCAGGCTGGAGTGCAGTGGCGCAATCTCGGCTCACTGCAAGCTCTGCTTCCCGGGTTCATGCCATTCTCCTGCCTCAGCCTCCCGAGTAGCTGGGACTACAGGCACCCGCCACCGCGCCCGGCTAATTTTTTGTATTTTTTTTTTTAGTAGAGATGGGGTTTCACCGTGTTAGCCAGGATGGTGTCGATCTCCTGACCTCGTGATCCGCCCGCCTCAGCCTCCCAAAGTGCTGGGATTACAGGCGTGAGCCACCACGCCCGGCCAAATCAATTCTTATGATCCTATCATCACACAAATTTTTCTCCCCAAGCACACAGTTTTGGAATACTAGGTTCCCTTACTTATTTGAACAAAATGAGTTCTTTTTTTTTTGAGACAAAGTTTCATCTCGTTGCCCAGGCTGAGCTGCAATGGCATGATCTCAGCTCACCGTAACCCCCACCTCCTGGGTTCAAGTTATTCTCCTGCCTCAGCCTCCCCAGTAGCTGGGATTACAGGCATCCACCACCATGCCCAGCTAATTTTTGTATTTTTAGTAGAGACGGGGTTTCACCAGGTTGGCCAGGCTGGTCTCAAACTCCTGACCTCAGGTGATCCACCCACCTCGGCCTCCCAAAGTGCTGGGATTACAGGCGTGAGTCAACACACCCAGCCAATGAGTTCACTCAAAAAAAAAAAAAATCTTCACAGTTCAAGAAAATCATTTAAATTAGTTTCAAGGCCGGACACAGTGGCTCACAGCTGTAATCCCAGCACTTTGGGAGGGCAAGGTGGTAGGATCACTTGAGGCCAAGTGTTCAAGATCAGCCTGGCCAACATGGCAAAACCCCATCTCCACTAAAAGTATAAAAATCAGCCAGGTGTGGTGGTGCACACATGTAATGCCAGCTACTTGGGAGGCTGAGGCAGGGAAATCCATTGAACCCAGGAGGTGGAGGTTGCAGTGAGCCAAGATTGCACCACTGTACCCCAGCCTGGGCAACAAAGTGAGATTCTGTCTCAAAAAAGAAAAATTAGTTTCAGAGTTCCAAATATTACCACTCCTGTCTCAAATTAGGTTTAAGGCACTCCTGTGAACAGGCAGATTGTATAGGCATAAATTAAGATGTCACTTCCCTAGAGAGGCTAAGAAACAAATACATTCAAGAAATATTTGATGAATTAAATGAGATGAAGATATCTGGAGAAAACGACTCATCTATCCTCATTCGATCCAACATTCTTTCTGCACACATCGTGTCAGGCAAGATGCTCAGTATCAGACACAGAATATAGGAAAGTACAAGTAACCAGCTGGGTGTGGCCACTCATGCCTATAATCGCAGCACTTTGGGAGGCCAAGGCTGGGGAGGACTGCTTGAGGCCAAGAGTTTGAGACCAACCTGGACTAAGCAAGACCCTCATTCTCTATAAAAAATAATTTTAAAAAGTTTTTTAAAAGAAAGTACAAGAAGAAAGTACATGTAACCTTTCACAAGTTACAATGTTTTATTAAAATGACTGTAGTCACAAGAAGCCTGTTTTCCCTTATAATGAAAAGTAGGTTAAAACTGGATTCACCAAATCTCACAGAAGAAAAAAGTACACACACTGAACTTTTTTAGTTTTTTATTTTGATTCTGATGGCTGGACAAGGTATGTACATTCTAGAACATCTTCTTAATCCCTAAACAAGTGAAATTCTACTTACTTATACATAAAAAGACAAGGAGAAAAGGTCATGACTGTCTAACAGGGAACATGAATCCCCAAATAAATTATCTTACAAAAATATCATACTTGCTTTTCTACTTTTTCACTACTGGTAAAAATGAAAAAAATAATTCACATTAAAATAAAATCCATAGTGGCTGGCATAGCAAGACAATTATTTTTACATATTAAAGTCCTTCAAATAAATATTTTACACATAAATTTAAGTTTTCAAAAAAAAAAAGGTTAAGTATTTATCCTGTATTTTTTTGGTCTGCTAAGAGACCACTTATCAAACTGACATTAAACTGGACTGTAGCTCATACTCTGCAAAGAGTAAAATGCACGTCACAGGCAGGTTGGATACACACATGTGCATATTACATACATATGAAATGGCTAACACTGCTGTGCATACTACTTCCATAAGTAGTTTTACCCTGTAAAAATACTGTAGCCTATACTGAATCAAACTGCAATGAAAGAACCAAAGGTACTACTTGCCTATTATAGACACTTGGTCAAGCATTTAAAAAAATACAAAAATTGGCCTGGTGCAGTGGCTCACACATATAATCCTAGCACTTTGGGAGGCTGAGGCGGGTGGATCACCTGAGGTCAAGAGTTTGAAACCAACCTGGCCAACATGGTGAAATCCCATTTCTACTAAAAATACAAAAATTAGCCGGGCATGGTGGCAGACGCCTGTAATTCCAGCTGCTCAGGAGGCTGAGGCAGGAGGATCACTTGACCCCGGGAGACAGAGGTTGCAGTGAGCTGAGATCACACTACTGCACTCCAGACTGGGCGACAAGAGCGAGACTCCGTCTCAAAAAAAAAGAAAACATTATAATGTTTTGGGGACTTAAAGATTATTGAAGATGAGATAAAAGTCCACACTGCTTACAAATACCCGAACATGGAAAGCACAGTCAACACATTCATGTGGACAGCACATGACTGGATGTATTAATACATTACACAGCTTCTTCTATCTGATCTATTCCTCTTGTTTTATTCTAAAGAGTTACACGGACTTGGATCCTTTATGATGATTTAAAAAATAATATTAATTAAGTTTTCCTGGTCTGATAACCACTTTAAGAAGTAGAGTGGAAGGGTATAGAACTTTCTATATTTTCTCATACTTGTAAAACCAATTTGATTTTTACTGTGATGTGATATTTAACAGTATGGTAAAAATAAAAATGACTGAATTATATGATTTTGTCCACAACATTCAAGTCTCTTTTTGCTAAAATATTACAAAATGAATCCAGTAAACACTTTCCATTTTCTTTTTTTTTTTTTTTTTTTTTTTTTTTTTGGAGACGGAGTCTCACTCTGTCGCCCAGGCTGGAGTGCAGGCGGATCTCAGCTCACTGCAAGCTCCGCCTCCCGGGTTTACGTCATTCTCCTGTCTTCAGCCTCCCGAGTAGCTGGGCTACAAGGCGCTCCGCCACCCGCCCGGCTAGTTTTTTATTTTTTATTTTTTTTGTATTTATTTATTTTTTTTTTTAGTAGAGACGGGTTTTCACTGTGTTAGCCAGGATGGTCTCGATCTCCTGCCTCATGATACCGCCGTCTGCGGCCTCCCAAAGTGCTGGGATTACAGGCTTGAGCCACCGCGCCCGGCCAACACTTTCCATTTTCAATGGCCTAAGTTAGAGATGAATTCAACTTTTTTTTTTTTTTTTTAAAGGAATTACAACTATGCTGGGCTGAGGACAGCTATGTTAAACCCTGAAAACAACAGCCAAGCACCCAAACATCTAAAACACTAACACTTTCCATCCAGGATAGAAAAATGAGCATCCAAAGTAAAGAGAACCACACGACTGATCAAGCAACCAATCAAAAACCACTTCTCTGTTATTTGAACTTATAGTTACTCGAAGCTTGAAGTGTCCACCTTCATTATTATTGCAGGTTCCTAGAGTCACGGCTTCAATGTCAAATGTGACAGTGGACCCAGAGGTAACTGCGGGTAACTGATTCGTCATTTCTTTTCCATTGACAAAAACTGCACCTAAAATGTTAAGGTAAAGAGTCATTTACATGTAAGCAATAACTAAGAGATCTGAAATAGTTTCTGGATTACTGGTAACATAGCTCATTTCCTAATTCAGACTAAAAAAATCTGGAATGCCAACTAGACACAGATTTTAGAGTTCTGTCCAGGGCTCTACTCTTCCAGCAGACTATGAGCTGCCCATATCAATGTCATGAAAAGAAACTTGACAGTGTTACAAAATTACCTGCTGTGAAATAGCAAGACTGTTTCTTATGGAATAAACAAGAAAGAATCTTGTTCTACCAAATTCTTGACTCACCAACACTGTTTTTTTTTTTTTTTTGGGAGGTAGAGTTTCACTCTTGTTGCCCAGGCTGGAGTGCAGTGGCATGATCTGGACTCACTGCAACCTCCAACTCCTGGGTTTAAGCAATTCTCCTGCCTGAGCCTCTGGGATTACAGGTATTGGCCACCAGGCCCAGCTAATTTTTGTATTTTTAGTAGAGATGGGGTTTCACCATGTTGGCCAGAATGGTCTCGATCTCTTCACCTCGTGATCCACCCACCTCGGCCTCCCAAAGTGCTAGGATTACAGACGTGAGCCACCGTGCCCAGCCAACACCACAAAATATTAACATGTCTTGCCAGTGAATTTCTTTTTTTCTTTCTTTTTTTGAGACGGAGTCTCACACTGTCGCCTAGCTTGGTATGCAGTAGCACAATGTCGGCTCGCTGAAATCTCTGCCTCCTGGGTTCAAGCGATTCTCCTGCCTCAGCCTCCCAAGTACCTAAGATTACAGGCTCACACCACCACACCCAGCTAATTTTTTGTATTTGTAGTAGAGACAGGGTTTCACTATGTTGGTCGGGCTGGTCTCGAACTCCTGACCTCGTGATTCGTCAGCCTCAGCCTCCCAAAGTGCTGGGATTAGAGGCGTGAGCCACCACGTCCGGCCTCTGGCTGGTGATTTTTAAAGAGCACTAGGGATGTAGACTGAATGATTTATTGTTTGTAAAGAGTTTAGAACAATGCCTGGTACATAGTAGTCACATAAATTATGTAATTAAGACCAAAACTTTCAGCCAGCCACGGTGGCTCACACCTGTAATCCCAACACTTTGGGAGGCCAAGGTGGGAGGATTATTGGAAATCAGGAGTCAAGACCCACCTGGGCAACAACTTATCTTTACAAAAGTAAAAATAAAAAAAAATTAGCCAGGCATGGTGGCATGCACCTGGAGTCCCGGCTACTCAGGAGGCTGAGGAGGGAGGATGGCTTGGGCCCAAGAATTTGAGGCTGCAGCAAGCTATGATCATGCCACTGTACTCCAGCCTGGGTGATGGAGTGAGACTTCAAAAAAAAAAAAAAAAGAAAAAAATTAAAAAAAGAAAAATACCTAAATTTTCTCATCTCCTACTATAAATGTATGAAACTGGAACAGATTCATATATTACTATAATAATTCATGTATTTCCAAGAGAATGACAGTTATTTATCTCTTACCATTTGTACTAATGCACACAGCTTGATCCCGCTGCAGAGAGTCATATCCATCCTGTTTTTCTGCACACACTCCTATGCTGTCTCTTCTGTCTGGTTGTCCCACAGTTTCAACTCTGTAAATGAAGTAGAAAGGTCATTTCATACTTTTAAAATATAACATGAATGATACCTAACAGCCACTAGCTTAAAAAGAGCAATCTCACTACAATTGTTTTTTTCTTTTTTTTTTTTTTTTTTTTTGAGACGGAGTCTCGCTCTGCCGCCCGGGCTGGAGTGCAGTGGCAGGATCTCGGCTCACTGCAAGCTCCGCCTCCCGGGTTCACGCCATTCTCCTGCCTCAGCCTCCTGAGTAGCTGGGACTACAGGCGCCCGCCACCTCGCCCGGCTAGTTTTTTTGTATTTTTTTTAGTAGAGACGGGGTTTCACCGTGTTAGCCAGGATGGTCTCGATCTCCTGACCTCGTGATCCGCCCGCCTCGGCCTCCCAAAGTGCTGGGATTACAGGCTTGAGCCACCGCGCCCGGCCTACAATTGTTTTTTTCTAAATAGTAACAGCAACCATGATTGAGTTCTTGCTGTACTCTAGGCACTGTTTTAATTATTTTATATCTATCTATCATTCTCACAGCAACCTATGAGGTAGACGCTATTATTATTATTATTATTATTATTATTTTTTGAGATGGAGTCTTGCTCTGTCACCCAGCCTGAAGTGCAGTGGCACGATCTTGGCTCACTGCTACCTCCGTCTCCAGGGTTCAACCAATTCTCTGCCTCAGCCTCCCAAGTAGCTAGGATTACAGGCACCCACCACCACACCCAGTTTAGTATTTTTAATAGAGATGGGATTTCACCATCTTGGCCAAGCTGGTCTTGAACTCCTGACCTCGTGATCCCCCACCTCGGCCTCCCAAAGTGCTGGGATTACAGGTGTGAGCCACTGCGCCCAGCTGGTAGGTGCTATTTTTAACATACCCATTTTATAGGTGAGGAAAATGAGGCACAAAAAGAAAAAAAGATTAAAAATGGCTAAATAACTTGACCCTAATTACCTGGATGATGGCTGGTGGAACTAGGACTCAAACCCAGGCATTCTGACTCTAGAATCAATCAATCTATCTATCTACCTACTTACCTATCTATATCTTCGAAACGGAGTTTTATTCTTGTTACCCAGGCTGGAGTGCAATGGCACGATCTTAGCTCACTGCAACCTCTGCCTCCCTGGGTTCAACCAATTCTCCTGCGTCAGCCTCCTGAGTAGCTGGGATTACACGGATGCACCACCAAGCCCGGCTAATTTTGTATTTTTAGTAGAGACGGGGTTTCACCATGTTGGTCAGGCTGGTCTGAAACTCCTGACCTCAGGTGATCCGCCTGCCTCAGCCTCCCAAAGTGCTGGGATTAGAGCCACCGCGCCTGGCCTAATTTTGTATTTTTAGTACAGACGGGGTTTTACCATGTTGCTCAGGCTGGTCTTGGAACTCCTGACCTCAGGTGATTCACTCTCCTTGGCTTCCCAAAGTGCGGGGATTACAGGAGTGAGCCACCTTGCCCGGCCTAGAATCTATATTCTTAACTATTTGTAGCCATGATGGCACATTTCTATTTTATATTCTAGCTCCAGACACATAATTTGTCATAGTTGACATTATAATTTATGTAACTATTGCTGCCAGCGCCTAAATCTTCCATATGAGAATCTGCAATGATTTGATTACTGTTTGTTAAGTATATAAAGCATTTAAAAAGAACTATTATAATCCTAAAAAAACCCATTATGGTTATGAAGACACTATTCAAGCTTGAAGAACTTTCTATGTGGCAAGTTTAAGCTTTTCCTTTTTTTTTTTTTTTGAGACGGAGTCTCGCTCTGCCGCCTTGTGTTTTCATTTCAGATGTTGATAATTCGTGTGCTCTTGAAATAGGAAATGTACAGATCCCTATTGCCGACATACCATTCTCTCCATCCAGAAAGCCAACTTTGCGAGAAAAAAAAAAATAGTGTGAAACAGAATGTGGCTTTTCCAAAGACAGATGTGATTGTTTATAGTCAATGTGGCCTCAAAATGTCATTGATTGTGAAATGGCAAACATGCAGGATCATAATAAATATTTGGGTAGGTTTCTGAAGTTATTTCACATCTGAGCAGTCCAAAGAAGTATGGGAGGAGGGGCCAGGCGCGGTGGCTCACGCCTGTAATCCCAGCACTTTGGGAGGCTGAGGCAGGCAGATCACAAGGTCAGGAGATTGAGACCACCCTGGCCAACATGGTGAAACCCCGTCTCTACTAAAAATACAAAAAATTAGCCGGGTGTGGTGGCGGGCACCTGTAGTCCCAGCTACTCGGGAGGCTGAGGCAGGAGAATGGCGTGAATCCGAGAGGCGGAGGTTGCAGTGAGCTGAGATCGCACCACTGCACTCCAACCTGGGTGACAGAGGGAGACTCCGTCTCAAAAAAAAAAAAAAACTTTTATGGGGAGGAGGAAGACGTCAAGAGGACGTCTCAGCCCTTGTTCTCCCACAGAAACACCGATTTAACATATACAAATCCAAATACTTTCATGAGAATTCCAAAATCTAGTTAAAAAGTTGCAGTACCCGGCTGGGCATGGTGGCTCATGCCTGTAATCCCAGCACTTTGGGAGGCTGAGGCAGGCAGATCACAAGGTCAGGAGATTGAGACCACCCTGGCCAACATGGTGAAACCCCGTCTCTACTAAAAATACAAAAAATTAGCCGGGTGTGGTGGCGGGCACCTGTAGTCCCAGCTACTCGGGAGGCTGAGGCAGGAGAATGGCGTGAATCCGAGAGGCGGAGGTTGCAGTGAGCCAGGATCACGCCACTGTACTCCAGCCTGGGCAACAGAGCAAGACTCTGTCTCAAGAAAAAAAAAAAAAAAGTTGCTGTACACCAGACGAGCACAAAGCCAAACAGAACAAACTGACACAGGTAAGAATAATTTTCATTTTCCCCATTAACCCCTCCCCCAAGCCAGCACAACTCAGGGCCGGGCCAGAACACCTGAGCTTATGACTTCTCCCTCAGGAGGGAGGGAGACTAGCAGAGCATGGCGACTGGTGTTCCAGCTCTCCAGAGGGCTGGCTGAGACTCGTTTCTGTCTTGCCTCTCTTGGAGAACTGATGGAGCTGGCAAATTTTGGATCCCTGAAGGTTGCTGAGAACAAGGAAAAGAGGCGGGCTACAGCTTGCTGCAGCCAGCATGACTCGATGAGGTCAACAAGATCTGGAGAAGGTGCACAACTTGAAGTTTCAGTATCAGGAGAGCAAGATACCGGAATGTGCATCAGGCTCTCTAGCTTTTCAGAAGACTGCCTGAGGGACTGGTAGCTTTCTCACAAGACTTGAACTGAGAGGGAGCCAGCTACTTTGGATACCTGGTGGCCACTGAAGATGAGAGTGGGGTAGCTTGCTGCTATAGAACCAAAGAACTTGTAGTGCTACAGACACCAGAAGGAGCAAGAAATTACAAACTTCCGAAAAAGAAACCACCTAGCCTCTTGAATATAGAAAATGCAGGCAGAGGCCCAGAGAAATCATACCTGCCAAAAAAGTTTCAGAGGCCCCCAGAACATCCAGTTGGGCTGACTGGTGAAGGTGACTGATCATACAGAGACTTTCCCAGCACAATGCTAGTCCATAAACACTGGGAGAGATAGCTATTCTTTTTAAATTTTTTGAATTTTTATAGAGATGGGGTCTCACTATGCTGCCCAGGTTGGTTTCAAACTCCTGGGCTCAAGCAATCCACCCACCTCAGGCTCCTAAAGTGCTGAGATTGTGGCTCCCGAAGTGCTAGGATTACAGGTGTGAATCACCGTGCCCAACCTGATAGCTATTCTTTCAAATGTGCAGGCCAGGTGGGGCGGCTCATGCCTGTAATCTCAGCCTGTTTTATGAAAATTATTAATAAAGAAGTATAGAAGGGTCTATATTTTTAATATTCTGGACAATTATTTTGAGAAGAAATCTGGACAAAAATGACCTCAAAGAAGTCTAGAATTTTGCTAGGCACAGTGGTGCATGCCTGTAATTCCAGCTACTCAGAAGGCTGAAGTGGATCACTCGAGGCTAAGGGTTTAAAGTCAGCCTGGACAACACAGCGAGACCCTGTCTCTTTAAAAAAAAAAGGATTTGATGCGATGTTGCAGAATATAGCTATTATCAGTAAGTGGAGAATTTTATAAACCTCTTACAAGCACCATTCAATTTCCTCTTTCTATGAGTTTGACTACTTTAGATACTTCATGTAAGTGGAATCATGCCGTATTTGTCCTTCTGTGACTGGCTTATTTCACTTAGCATTATGTCCTCAAAGTTTATCCATGTTGTAACATATGGCAATCAATAAATGAATGGGAAACAATCCAAAAGAAAAACAGGCCAAGTATATAGTCAGGCAATTCATAGACATGCAAACCAGTATGGCCAAGAAATTCATGAAAAGTTTTATGACCTCACTGAAAACTGGGGAAAATAACAAATACAATGAGATACTATTTCCCACCTACCCAGACAAAATTTCAAGAAGGACCACCCTTATATACTTCAGTAAATGGCAATTCTATCCATCCAGTTACTTAGTCCAAAAACCCTGAGGTCATACTTGACTCTTTTCTTTCTCACATCCTACAAACAATCTGTCAGTAAATCCTGTCAGCTCTTCCTTCCAAACATATCCAGATTCTGATCGGAAGCAGTGGCTCATACCTGTAATTCCAGCACTCTGGAAGGCTGAGTTGGGCAGCTCAGGAGTTCAAGATCAGCCTGAGCAACATGGTGAAACCCTATCTCTACTAAAAATACAAAACTTAGCCAAGCATGGTGGCATATCCCTGTAATCCCAGTTTCTAGGGAGGGTGAGGCAGGAGAATCACTTGAACCCAGGACCCAGAGGTTGCAGTGAGCTGAGATCGTGCCACTGCACTCCAGCCTGGGTGACAGAGTGAGACTCTCTCAAACAAAAAACATACCCAAATTCCGACCACTTACCATTACTTCCACTGCTCCATTCTGGTCCGAGCCACCATTGGGTCTCACCAAGATTATTACATAGCTTCCTAACTAGTCTCCCCACCTGTATCTGTACCTCT